ATAATTAATTTTGTTATCTTTTTCTTTTTAATATTTTTTATTGGTTGGTTATGAATTTTAAGTACCTGATATTTTGTATAATTGTAAAGATATATAATTTTTGTAAATTAACAAATCTATATGTTTTTATATTTGTTTTAAGGTATTAAAGTTTATCAGTTTTAACTAATATATTTGTTATATATTTTTTAATCATGTGAATAATATTTTGGAAAATAAATTCTTTTCATCTTTGTATTTTCCCACTTATTCATAATAGTCTTAGAAAATATATCATTAAATGTTTTTGCATTAGCATCATTTTTTATTCAATACATTTTTTATAACCTGTTTTGGTAATGCTATAATAGATTTTAGAAAATGGCAAGTTTCTTCATATATATAAGTCTTTTGTAACTTTATTTTTCACTTATAACTGTCATTTTATGAAATGTTTTAAATTTTGCTTTTTTTTTGCTCTAATCTTTTCATATATAGCCATTTTTAATAATCATACAAATAGTTTGAAATATCAAATATTTACATCATATTTTTGTATTGCATATTTTTATATACAATCTTTTTAACACTAAAAATGCTTTATAAAATTGTGTTTCTTATAATTTTTCATTTCTATTTTTCTCTCTCTTATTAATAACATTTTTTAATATATTTCAGTAAATTTTATATTTTTGAAATTTATTTTGTAACTTTTATTGTCAATAATACAAAATTTTCAAAAGATTTTATCTTTTTACGTCTTTTTAATAATTATAAAAAATGTTTATATTTTTTATTATATGTATTTTCATGAATAATTATTTTAAATAATTTTCTATTTAAATTATAATACACATTAAATACCTCCACGAAGCAAATGTTTTATTCCCAGTCTTTCTATAATAACACTCCGAATAAATGCCACTTGCACTTTGATAAATTATGTTGTTTGAAAATATCTAGTTGTGTCTTTTCATCATAAACGGTTGCATTTTTTCATTATAAATGGTCGCATTTATTCATCACAACAGTAATTCATGTCTTTTCAAAATTATTTATATTTCTTAAAACTACGTAAGAAAATTATTTGGGTCTGATTTTTAATTTTTTACTATAATAGTTTATCATATAAGTATATTATTTAAATGGTTTTCTATAAATAAAAAGAAAAAAAATTAACATATAATCATTTTCCAATAATGCTAATGAATAATCACTATCAAATCTGATGCTAATCGTGAGACCATCTCACGACATTCAGATAACTTGCGTATTTTTATTATATTTTGTTTCTTAACAGTTTAGTAATCTGAATAAATGGCATTTGCACTTTCATAAGCTATGTCTTTTCAAAATTTATGATTATGCTTTTTCATCATAGATAATTTGTGTCTTTTTCAAGATTATTTATATTGTTTAAAGCTATATAAAATATCATTTGATAATGATTTTTTACTGTCGTATTATAATTGTCCATCATAAAAATATGTTATTTAGATAATTTGCTATAAATAAAAATAAGAAATAATAAAAAATCTAACACATGATTGTTATCCAACAATGCTAATTAAGAATCACTAATCTGATGCTGATCACAGGAGACATCGCACAACCTTCAGATAAGTTGGATATTTTCATTATATTTAGCTTTATAAACGTTATTAATATTTGTGTTATGTTTTTTTATAATTACGAATTTTTATAAAAAGTTGTATTTTAAAATTGAATAAATATCAAATATGATTGTCTCCTTCATTATATTTTTCATAACTATAATTTAAGTCCATATCTTTTCAATATTTATTATGTATATTTTTGTTTATGACCATTTATTTTACGAAAGTTGTATTTTTTATTACTAATATCTTTTCAACTTTATTAAAAAAAAGAATCAGATCATTTTCAATATTTCTTTTATTTATTTGCATGTAAGCAAATAAATTTATTAGAGTAAACTGAATAAAGTTATTATTAATTTATTATGTCTTCATCCCAAATTTTATCTGAAAAGTTTATTGGTCAGATAAACAAGTTTTTTTTCATTCGATGACTTGTTTAAATTATTTAAATATTTTTATTATTATTTTATTTTATGTATTTGATATTATTGCATATTGCATACATTTTGCATACTCATTAATTAGCTTTTCATGCATTTGTATCACATTTTAGGTTAGATTGCATCACTTAGGGTCCTAGAGCATTCTTGCATCAGCATACGCATTTTCCTTGCATTTTGCATCACATTCAGGTTGTTTCTGGCTGCTTTGGAGTCATGGAGGTTCGTGGACATGTTGAGGCTGATGTAGCAGTTCATGGGAGCTCGGATATATGCTAAGGATCAGAGATCGAGGAGCAGATCGAGCATGGCCGGTCGATCTGGGAGTTGATCGACCAGAAGATCGAGCCAACCAGGCGATCCAAGGAGAATGATCGAGACAAGGATCGAGTGAAGCAATCGATCAAACGGTACGGACGTAAATGACGCCATGCAGAGCGAGAGCCAGATCGAGTACACCACTCGATCCAGCCGAAGATCGATACCAAGATCGGATGCAACGCTCGATTCGCCGATGATGATCGAGACCCAGATCGAGCCGAAGACACAATGTCCGGATATGATCGAGAGAACCACTCGATCTTGGAGTCGATTTCTGTCCTTTCAACCGTTTTTGGCCGCTAGCGAAGGGGGGACCATTAGCTTGTTTCGGCATTTTGGGAAGGCGGCGACGTCCTTTTCCTAAGATAACTTTTTAGATCCTTATCTTTTCCTTTATGTTTTCTCTCTCGTTTTCGTGAAGAACACCATTGTTGAACTCGCGTTTTTCTTAAGCTTTGTATTCGAATCATTTCTGTTCAATCTAGTTTTTCTTTTCATGTTCATCGTCTTGTTTCATATGCTTTGCTTGATTTACTCTATGTGTAGCGAGTAGTTTCTTTGGGTTCGGGGTTGAGATGACTAAGGGATCAAAAGGGTTTCGATCTTGGGGTTTTTCTAAACGTTTTCAAAGGCTATCTCTTCTAAGGTGTTGAGATCTTAATGCTTGAAGACTCTCACGCCAAGAGCTTCGTGATCCGAGAGGTTCCTTACCTTGACAGGATTCAGAAGCCTCGGAAGATCACACCTTAGAGACTAGTTACCCCATCCCAAAAGCCATGGAAGTTTGGGGGATTAGTTAAGCCATTTATTTGAAATCTGTTTTCCTTGCCCTTCGACCTCTCTTTCCACCAAAAGTCATGGGTTTGGAGGAGAGGATGAAGGAGTGATCTATACCGAAAGCCACAGATAGATCTTGTTTAGTTTTCAAGGCTTAGAGATCCTCACCAAGTGAGTCGATTTAAAGTTTTAAACCCAAGGTCGAACCTTTGAAACCCCTGACCATGAATCTCAACCCTAGACCCTTTCTCTTAGCATCTTTACATCTTATCTCATCTTTCGCTTGATCTCTGATAGCATCCTGGTCATTAGTTTTACTGTTTTTGCATTTTTAGACGAGATCGATTGTTACTGCTCGATTTAGTGGTCGATCTCATGGTCGATCCACTAGTCGAATTTTAATAATTCGAAGCTTTCTCCTTTAATTATCCTGTTTGTTTCTCGTGGTAGTTTCTTCCTTTCTAGTATTTTTAAAATAGGTTTTGTTCTGTTTAAGTTGTTGCATCTAGTTTTTAGAGATTTTCTCATAAACCGTCTCATTTCGCTTAGATTTGCTTTAGTCCTTGTATTCTCTGTGCATTCTCTATCATCCTAGAAGTGGATTGACTCTCTCTTGTTTGCTATACTATAACATGTCTTGCATTTGAGTTTGATAATCTCACTGCAATATAAACTGTACTAAAAGAGATTATCAGTATTTTACTTATAATTTTTTTAAATTTTTTTTTAAAAAAATACATAACAATTTAACCCTGCAAAACGGGGTTCTATTCTTAGTATTAAATATAATAAATAAATTAAGAGAACATATACTTATAATAACTTTTTGGAATAAGAAATAGACTAATAGATTGAAGAAACATCAGATGTCATAACAAAATTATTCAATTTTGAAGTAAAAAACGATGTAATAGATAGATGCATGACGATGACAAAAAAAAAAAGATAGATGCATGACGTAATAGAAGATTAGAGATGCTACACCATTACACCATGTGTAAATTTAGATGATTTTAAAGCCTAGTGTTCCTTCAGCATAAATATAGTGAAATTTCAACGTAACTACAACTCTGACTAATTTTTTTTTTCATCTTTAGCTCGATACATTTTTGTAGGAATCACCATTAAAGATAGAAAATGTGAATTGTGATTGATGATTGATGTTATATAAACGGATTTTGATTAAATAGTCATGATTTGTATTTCAAGAGTAGTAATCATGTTCATATACCACATACACACCCAACCACCAACACCTTGGCAAGATTGAACTTTATTTGTGCGACGAGTTCAACGTTTGCGTGTTGAGGTTATATTTCTGTTTTTCTAATAATTAATTTCTGTGTGTTGATATAATATCCAAAAACGTGTTGAACAAAATGTTGAATCTGACATAATGTTAAGCTAAAAAGAAACACATCCTATATTTACTTTTTTGAAAAGGGGTTTAAAAACACATCCTATAGTTGAACTATATAACCATAATCATAAATCCAATCTCGCTTTTGGTTTGCTTTTGATTCTGTTTATAGGTTCTTAACTTTTCAAACGAATTGATTTTAGGTGGATTCGATTCAAAAAAATATATATGACTTCTCTGATTTGATGTTTTTTACAAAAATCTGAAGTTTGAGCAAACTCAAATTCAAAAACCAAAAAAATTTGGTAAGATATTTCTGGTTTGATTTTAACCGAATCAAGAAAGACGAGCAAATAATATGATTAAATCGATCGATATTCCAAAACATATTCACAATCACATGTTATAATGAATAAATGGAATTAAAAAAAAAAAACTCAAAAAATTGTTTCTGATCTTGAAGTCAAGAAACAGGAACAGATTCATAATAATCATTAATCAAAATCAATAACGGACTATTGTCTCGAAGCAGTGAAGACCGTCAAGCTCCAGAGCATATCTCGGAGTCTTCTTCACCATCTTATTGCTACTTGCGTTATCCTTCTTCTGTGTTTCCGTTTGCGTTTGCGGTGCGGCAGATTTGGCGGTGGTAATCGCGGTAGCATTAAACGAAGAAGCCATAAGGTTCTTTCCCATTAGCTCAGCAAAGAGGGCATCGAAGGCACTGAACATCGAATTCATGATGGAAAATCAAAGATAATAAGACAAAACAAGAGAGTTTGAAAATTTCTGGAGAGAGAGAGAGATTTTAGAATTTTAGAAAGATCTTTGTGAGTTTTTATGATTTACAATAACGAAATAGGTTTTGCTTTATATACAATGAGACCGTGTTGAAAAAAATGGAAAGCGTGAAGAACTATGGTAGCTTTCTTCGAAAGTCCAATTTCAAGGTGCTTCTTGGTCGCGTCAAACGCCACGCGCTTTTCGCGTTATATGAGGGTTTTTTTTTTTTAAAATGTTTTCTCTGTCTTTTCGGCGCGTGAAAAACATGACAATTTGCAAAAATTTATGAGATAGCTGATAGGAAAATGTCAGATACTCACATGGTAAAGTCTTTCACAAGTTACTGCTAGGAGTAACTTTTATTTTTCCGGATTTAATGGTAACTTTGAAAAACTACAAACAAATAGTCTTTTAGTAATAATTTCACCGAAAGATGAAAGTTGTAAACCAAAAATGTGTATTCGTTTCTTTACGTGTAATCTATAGTTGGAACTTTCAAATTAAATGGCGGTGCGGTGGCTTTTTCTTTTCAACTAAGAGAGATTTTTTATTAATAAATTTTGATAAGAGATCGAGCTTGGATAGCACGCGATGAAAACGATGAAGCTGAATCAGACTAATCTTGGGGTCCAAGTTGGGTTGAATGTAGATAGACATTGGAAGGTCGTTATTGAATCTTAAATTGTTATGTTCTGTTTAAAGTGGGTCCCAATCACATGCCTTTTCCTCCCTTGTGTTTAGGCATGTCGTAAGGAGTGACATTTTATTTTCTTTGTTAATACATTTTTGTTTTTTTTAAAGGTTGTCATATTGAATTGAAGAAAGAGATAAAGTAGAAAAAGAACCTCTCTCTACATTTTCTCAAACCTTAAAACAAAACTTCTTATCTGAGTTTCTTTTTTTGCCGGTGGCCGGTGTAAATCCGACATCGGTGCTGTGCTGTATATATTATTTCGGATCTATTGTTTGTAATATATTCCGCTCATTCGTATTTCCGCTCATTCGTATTTACGATTCCGCTTTATCGGATAAATAATTTTCATTTATCGGATGTTGTTTTGTTTTCCCTTTTGCTTGTTCTTAGATGCGAATTCCAGTAGCTGGTTGGAAGTCTCTTTCTCATCAGATTATTCTGGGTTCTTTCTTTGGGAGAATAATTCTTTACTTATCCGATAGATTTCGGATTATGTTGTAAAGTTTCTCTCAATCAAGTTGGAATCAAGTGTTTAGGATATTATTTGGTGATATGGATTAGAGTAAGAAAAGCTGGCATCTTTGTGGTGGTCCGATGTATATTCTGTTTCTATTTCACTGATGGTTCCTTGTAATTCATCTTCTGATGGCTAAAGTTTGACTTCTCAATCTCTCCGGCGATAAAAAAGCAAAAGGAAGGAGCAGTGTTTTTTTCCAGCAGTTTCGACGGTGTTGAATTTTGATGTTATCCATCGGCGGTGCTAGTCGTCGGCGGTGTAGGAATCGAAGCGGCTGATTCATCTCTTTTCCAAACACGTGTCCTTGTTTTGTTATTTAGGGTTTCGTGTTCAACCACGTGGTATTGGATGAGGTCTGTATTAGCTGGAATTTTCTTACATTTTTAGGCCTTTTAGAGATGTGATTATAATATGATCTACCCCTTGTGGGTTTCAATGCCTTTTGAGCTTAATCAGCGAGACGAATATTTTTTTGGTTTTTTGGGTTTTACCAGGAAATGACTAGAAAAAAATAAAACAAAGCCCAATAACTTTTAATGGACTCGGTTAAAGTATAAAATTGGTTTAATCGAAATACACCTAACCTTAAAATGAGAAACGATTTTGTTGAAACAGTCGCCACGCCCGGCGTCGAGAAGCCGCCTCCGGATAAATCTGAAACTGGAACAAACCTATGAAACCGCCATCACTCAAAGAGGAAAACGAAGACTTCTTCCGTACCATAACAAGAGAGCTCGCCCAGAGAAAAGAAACGACTTTGGAGAGAGAGAGATCCGATCCACACCTAGTTGTCGCCAGGGATCTCCTTTCATGAACCGGCTGCACCCTCAAAACAACCGGTCTTACTCATGAGAACCTCAACAGATTGAACCTCCGATACCCTTACCGCCGCCAGAGATCTCTTTTCATTAAAAACTATTTTTCTTTACTCAATAAACTAAAATAATAAAAATAAAATTGATATTTTATTTAAAAGATTATACTATAAAATATTAAAATAATATTTTAATTTATAAAATAAAAAGAATATCAAACTTTTTTGATTAATTTTTTTTAACTAAAACTTTATAATATATTATCTTATAATAGATAAATTATATATAATTATTGAGTTTATTTTTATTGTGTCCATTCAAACAATGATATATTATTAGTAAAATCTATCGTAATAATAATTTTCTTATTTAGTCTATCTAATTGCTTTTTAGTCAATTATTTTTGGGTAATGAGCATGCTTTCTAAGTTAAATGCATGCTATATTAGTCCATATATTTTTGTTATACACTATATTGATTAAGCGAATTAAGGCGAAAAACGTATAAAAAAGATGATATGATCATAGACCATAACGAAGACAATAGACCGGGACACCAAAGTGAAACAATTCAATGCCGAGGTAAAACAGTTCGGCAGCAAGGAGGTACAACTAAAAACCGAGCTAAAACAACAAAGATCCAAGGAAGATCAAGAACAAGACAAACATGTAGCTGATGAAGTCCTTAAAGTTTAAGTTGGTCCAGTGACGTGTTTAAGGACTAAGGCATTTCATAATGTTTTAGAGGTTCTATTCAACCAAATCAAGATCAATGACGACAAGGCTATACTTACTTTTCTGGTTTGTATTCAAGCCGATTAGTTTATGGACTAAGTAGTGCCATGTGTGCTCTTTTTCCCTTAGTAAGTTTTGTCCCATTGAGTTTTCTCACTAAGGTTTTTAACGAAGCCATTGCATTGCTTCACCATTGCCCATGAAACTAATCAGGAGACCCAAGCCCACTTCACTTTCTTTCACTCGGTTTTGAAGATCAATAATGTTTCTATCTCTTTTCAAATAAGACGCTCCACCTCTTTATTTCTTTTGTTTTTACGAGATGGTCTTTGGTGCTTGTACCGAGGCTGATCTCATTATATTTGCTTGTTGTTTCACAAAACATTTTATCTTTCTTTTTAATCAAATCTCTTTAAGAAAAGATCATCTCTACAGTGTGTCATATCCGTGGAAACCCTTGTTGATTTCTCGGTGTGTAATATCCTAGAAGTCTACAAGTTGTTTACAAGAGACTTTCACATCTCTTGCTAAGCTTCCATCATCTACCTTTGTCCCATCTCTTCATCATTCGTTCCATCTTAAACATTCGTTCTCCCGTTCCATATACATCCTCCCCCTCCCCCTCTCGGATCAAACGTTCATTCGCTAAAGTTTTTCACTCAATCAACGGATCAATCACTTGCCCTTTTTAGCTTTCAAAGTCTGGATCATAAGAAGAACATATTACGTGGTATCAGAGCCTGCTTTGAAAAGCTAAGTGTTTTATCCGATTTAGTTTTGGGATTTGTGACGTTTCATTTTATTTGACTCTTCACATCCTTGTTCTTCACGGTTTGATCTAAAATTCCTTTCAAGTAATTAGGGTGTTAATTTTAATCGTTTAGTTTTTGTTTCTAATTATTTTTTTGAATCTTTTAGAGCAAGGTTTTTGTCTCAAGGGCTGTTTACTGCGAGTTTTGTTTCTCCCTTTTCAGGTACCATGGCTGGAGAAGATGATCCAGAAAACGCAGTAGGGAGAAGTCAAAGGTTGTTGACCGAGGCTCTTACAACCGAGATGAAAAAGATGCTGCACTAAGAGGTAGAAAAGATCAGACAAGAGTATGAACAGAGAGAGCCAACTACAAGACGACCCGGGAAGGAGAAAGAAGGAGAGACAGCCGACCCTACCGGTGGCCATCAAACGGATCAATATTACAGGAGCAGTGGTTCCTCCAGAAGTGGTCGTAGGAGTTCCCGGCAAGACAGAGAACGAATACAAGACAACTTAGCCAGAATTAAATTGAAGATTCCTCCGTTCCATGGGAAGTGTGATCCGGACGCTTACTTAGAATGGGAAAAAAAGATGGAGCTCGTCTTCAATGCTCAACATTATACCGAGGAGAATAGAGTCAAGGTGGCTGCTACTGAATTTTATGATTACGCCTTGAGTTGGTGGGATCAACTTGTTACTACAAGACGATGCAATCAAGAGTATCCAGTCACTACTTGGACCGAGATGAGAAATCTGATGAGGAAGCGGTTCGTACCAAGCCATTACCATCAGGACTTACACCAGAGGCTTAGAAGATTGACTCAAGGCAACTATACAGTGGAGGAGTATTTTCAAGAAATGGAAAACCTAATGCTCCGAGCTGATATCGTTGAGGACCGTGAAGCAACTATGGCACGATTTCTTGGAGGACTCAACCGAGACATTCAGGACAGACTTGAGACTCAACACTATGTGGATATAGAGGATATTCTGTATAAGGCAGTAATGTTTGAACGACAACTTAAGAGGAAGAATTCTCACCGTACCGCCTCTAGTACCGGACCCAATCAACAATCAGTTTACCCGCCAAATGATAAGAGTCACTACCAGAGAGAAAGCAAACCGGTCGTTTCAAAAGCCGAAGCCATATCAGTACAAGACATCAGAGGAAAGGCAAAGGAGACTACTATAAGGACACGGGACGTCAAGTGTTTCAAGTGCCAAAGACGAGGTCATTACGCTAATGAGTGCATTAACAAACGAGCTATGGTTCTATTGGAGAATGGCGACGTAACATATGAAGAAGAACCTCAAGAAGAGTCTAATGAGTTGTTGCCAGTAAAAGGAGATCTCTTAGTAGCAAGGCGAATGCTGAGTATGCAAAGTAAGCCGGAAGCAAGAGCAAAGAGAGAACTTGTTTCATACTCGCTGTTTGGTCCAAGGGAAA